TATTGTGTTTAGGTATGTTCCAGTTATCCCTGATCTCTCCAAGACCTTTACAATGAAGGGGTATTGGATTTTGTCAAAGGTTTTTCAGCATCTAGTGAGATGATCATGTGAGTTTTCTTTTTCAGTTTGTTTTTATCATGGATTACATTGACAGATATTTGTATGTTGAACCATCCCTGCATTCCTGGGATGAAGCCCACTTGATCATGGTGGATGATGTTTCTGATGTGTTCTAGGATTCCATTTGCCAGTACTTTATTCAGTGTTTTTGCATAGATGTTCATGAGGGAGATTGGTCTGTAGTTCTCTTTCTTAGTTGTGTCTTTGTGTGGTTTGGGTACCAAGGTAATTGTAGCCTAACACAAAAAAAGTTTAACACTGACCCTTATGCTTCTATTATATGGAATAATTTGAGGAATATTGATATTAGCTCTTCTTTGAATTTCTTATAGAATTATGCACTGAAACTGGCCCTGGGATATTTTTTTTTGGTTAGGAGACTTTTGATGACTGCTTCTATTTCATTAGGGGTTATAGGTCTATTTAAATTGCTTATCTGTTCTTGATTTAATTTTCAGTGAGTGATACCAGAAGAGTATCCATTTCCTTTAAATTTTCCAATTTTATGGAATACAGGTTTTCAAAGTATGGCCTTATGATTCTCTGTATTTCCTCATTGTCTGTTATTATGTACCTCTTTTCATTTCCCATTTTGTTAATTAGCATGTTCTCTATCTCTCTCTCTCTCTCCCTCCCTCCCTCCCTCTCTCTATCTCTCTCTCTCTCTCTCTTTCTCTCTCTGCTGTTTGGTAAGTTTAGATAAAGGTTTGTCTATCTTGTTGAATTTCTCAAAGTAATAACTCTTTGTTTCATTGATTCTTTGTTTCTACTTTATTCATTTCAGCCATCAATTTGATTATTTCTGGCTTCTACCTCTCCTGGGTGAGTTTGTTTCTTTTCGTTCTGGAGATTTCAGGTGTGTTGTTAATTCTCTAGTGTGACTATTCTCCCATTTCTTCATGTGGGCACTTAGTGCTATGGTCTTCCTCTTAGCACAGCTTTCAAAGTGTCCCATAAGTTTGGATATGTTGTGTATGTATTTTCTTTCTTTATTTCTTTCTTGATCCAGGGGTGATGCAATTGAGCATTGTTCAATTTATGTGAGTTTGTAGGCTTTCTTCAATTTGTGTTGTAGTTGAATTCTAACTTTAAACCATAGTGATATGATAAGATACGGGGGGGGTTGCAATTTTTTTATTTGTTGAAGTTTGCTTTGTTGTTGAGTGTGAGGTCAATTTTAGAGAAGATTCCATGTGGTACTGAGAAGAGGTATATCCTTTTGTGTTTAGATGGAATGTTCTATAAATGTCTGTTAATCCCAATTGAGTTATAACTTTTATTCCTTTATTTCTATGTTAAGTTTCTGTCTGGTAGTCCTGTCCAGTGGTGAGAGTGGGGTGTTGAAGTCTCCCTCTATAAGTGTGTGGGATTTATGTGGGATTTGAGGTTAGTAATGTTTCTTTTACAAATATGGATGCCTCTGGATTTGGGGCATAGATGTTGAGAATTGAGACTTCATCTTGATGAATTTTTCCTGTGACAAATATGAAATAACTTTCTTCATTTCTTTTGATTGATTTTAGTTTGAAGTCTAGTTCATTAGATATTAGGATAGCTAATCAGCTTGCTTCTTAGGTCCATTTGCTTGGAAAATCTTTTCCTAACCCCTTAATCTGAGGTAATGTCTGTCTTTTAAGTTGAGATGTGTTTTTTGTATGAACCAGAAGGATGGATTCTGTCTTCCTATCCATTCTTTTAGCCTGTGTCTTTTTATAGGCCAGTTAAGACCATTGATATTAAGGGATATTAATGACCAGATTGTTGATTCATCTTAGTTTTGTATTCCTTGGTGGTAGTGTTATTTGTGTGTATTTCCTTTGTTTTTCTTGGTTTTGGGTAATGTGAAATTATCAATTGCCTATGTATTTGTGAGTGTAGCTAACACCTCTGGGTTAGAGTTTTCCTTCCAGTCCTTTCTGTAGAACTTGATTTGTGGATATGTATTGTTTCAATCTGGTTTGTTGTGGAATATCTTGTTTTCTCTATCTGTAATTATTGAAAGCTTTGCTGGGTATAGTAGTCTGGATTGACATTCATGGTCTCTTAGTGTTTGTAGAACATCTATCCAGGACCTTCTGGCTTTCAGAGTTTCCATTGAGAAGTCATTTATGTTACTTGGCCTTTTTCCTTTGCAACTCCTAACATTCTTTCTTTAGTCTCTATCTTTGTTATTATTGTGTGTGGCCAGGGGATTTGTTTTTTGTTTGTTTGTTGTTTTTTGTCCATTCTATTTGGTGTTCTATGAGCTTCTTATACTTTCATAAGCATGTCATTCTTTAAGTTGGGAAAGTTTTCTTCTATGATTTTGTTGTATATGTTTTCTGCACATTTGAGCTGGGATTCTTCTCCTTCTTCTATACCTATTATTCTTAGGTTTGGTCTTTTCACAGTGTCCCACATTTCCTGGATATTTTGTTTTAATGATTTGTGGACTTAATATTTTCTTTGGTTGATGAATCTATTTCCTCTAGTGCATCTTCACCATCTGAGATTCTTGCTTCCCACTCTTGTATTGTGTTGGTTATACTTGCATCTGTAGTGCCTGAATATTTACCCAGATTTCTATTTTCTGCATTCCCTCAGTTTGTGTTTTCTTAATTTGGTTCTATTTCAGTTTTCAAGTCTTGACCTGTTTAAATTGTTTCCTTCACCTGTTTGAATGTTTTTTGCTGGCTTTTGTGGATTTTTAAAAAAGATTTGTTGATTTCTTGCATTTTTTGATTTATCTTTTCCTCCATTTCTTGCACTTTATTGTTTGTTTTTTTCCTTCCATTTCTTTAAGGGATTTTCTTGTTTCCTCTTTAAGGGCCTTGGTCGTATTCATAAAGTTGTTTTAAGGTCAATTTCTTCTGCTTCATCTGTATTGGGATGTTCAGATCTTGCTGGTGTAGGAGCCCTAGACTCTGGTGGTGTCATATTATTTTATGCTGTTGAATAGGTTCTTATGCTGCCATCTTCCCATCTTTTCTTCTACTGGGTACTGGTGGGGCCTCTCCCAGTGGGTGCAGGACCAAGCTTCTGATGGGGGCAGATACTGGGTGATTTTGTCTGTCCACAGGTCTTGCTCACAGTGAGCATGGTGTCAAGGCTCCAATGGCAGTAGATGCTGGATGGTTTGGTCTGCCCCCAGGTAACTGGGGATTTTGTGGGAATGCTGGGGTGAAGTCGAGGGTCTCTAATGGAGCAGGGGTGACAGGAGAAGGCCCAAAACTCACCTCTGCCAGTGGATGTAGTGAGGAGGCTCCAGTGGTGGCAGAGTCTGCCTCATTTGGTCTGCCACCCCCCTCAACCCCCACTACAGTATATTAATGAAGAACATTTTGGTTTTTCTCAAATGGAGCTGGGAGCTTGTATGGAGTTTTCAAAAACAGGAAAGAGGAAGGTACCAGGAAGTTCCCAACAGGAAGGAGCAGTGGACTGTCTCCATCTTAATATTCAGATCTGTACCTTACTTTACCCGTTCCCTTGAAGACTCCCAACTCTCAGCTTCCAGCACCAAATATCTCAACCCTGAGTGGAAATGAAGCCAGAGAGGAGTTGAACAGAGAAGCCCCTAGAGGCTGTGGAGGTCTTCAAGGATCCAACAAAGAAGCAACTCAAGGAACAACTCTGTCCACTGAGGGAATAATTACTGCAGGGGCCAGGGTAGACACGGCACAGCCAGGAAGCCACAGTTGACCACCCAGAGGAACATGACACTGGCACAGAACATGCTGGAAGAGTGGGGCTGAGCTGGGCCAGGCTGGCAGCAGGGGTGAGCTGTTTGGAGGCGGTGGCAGAGGGAAGTCATCAGTGAATGCTGGAGCATGAGAAAGTGTCCTTCTGAACTGGGGACCAAGGAAAGGATCCAGAACAGTGGGTGGGAGAGTTGAAGGACAGGAACCCAATAGAGACAGGGTCTTCAGGGCCTGAGAGGATAGACACAAGCATCCTGAAGGGATAGGACCAGAGCTGGCCCTTAGCACATGGTGCGGTGTAATCAGCCTTTGGATAAGGCCAGAGCAGACCCCAAAACAAGATCCTGGGCTGGGGAGTGACTCATAATAAAGCAAGAACCCTCAGCAAGGAGGTAAGATCTGTGGGACTACCAGACCTTGAGCAGAGACCCACTTCCCCTTCTGCCTGGGAGTAGGCAGCTGTAAGACAATGTTTACTAAAAACATGTTTACTAAAAACAATACAATGCCCGGGGCAATAAGTTCCTGGAAAAGGCCTGCCCACAGAAACCGCCCTGACCTCGACCTTGTCCAAAGACTAGCCGCCTCTTCTGACACGCCCAGATCAGTTTTTGGTGTCAGAGCAGAACTAGCCAGGGTAGAGGAGAGAGCAGAAGCTTCTCTGGTGGGAGCCTTTCTTAGGAAGTTTTCTTGAGCCTTTGTGGGGCCTGCTTAAAGTTTTCTTTACATCGTTGAACGAGTCTCTGTGTTGTCAATCCCCGACACCCTCCGCACGTTCTCGGACACAGGCCGCGCAGCAGAAACGACAAGATCCAAGACACAACAGCCAAGATTGGCAGCCGTGCCCTTGGGTGAAGCTCCTGCCTGGACCCAACAGGAAAGAGCAGAGGCTGAGCACCCACCAGTGCTCCCAAAGACATCGTCAGTATTGACTGAATTAAACTCCTGATTTTATTCTGTGTCTATGTCTGTCTTTTAATGTCCTTAGCTAGCCTTTTCCCAATTCACACTCCCCTCTCAGGTACGAACAAGGTAGGTTGGCTGGCTCCCACATATATGGGGATCCTAACAAGGAAAAAAATAAACTTCTTATAATGTGAGAATTAGAAAACTAACCATAGACACAGAAGACTTCAGGACCCAGAAACCATTTTGGAACTAGATCAATGAGGTTTTAAGGAAATCAAGAACATCAGAGGTAAGTGTGGTGGCATGTATTTAATCCCAGAACTCTGGAGGTAGAGACAGGAGGATCAGGAGGTCAAGGCCATCCTTGACCACATAATAAGACTGTAACCAGCTGGAGCTACTAGAGATCCTGCCTCAATAAAAAGCAAGCAACAATACCCACCACCACCACCCCAAAAATATAAAATTTGAGGCTGGGAACTGAGTCTAATCTCAACCATGAAAAAGGAAGTAAGAATTTCTTTATATTGAAATTTCAAATGAAAACTAGACTATAAAAATAACACAGTGGACCAAACACTTAGAAAGTTAAGTCATGTGACTCTAGAAGAGAGCCCAGACTTCAGTCCTAACTAACATTCATGAGGCCCTAGGTTCAATACTAAGTACCTCAACAAAAAAGGAAAAGCATAAAAAGAAAATTAAAAACTTCCCATATAATCCAGAAATACATTATTCCCAGGATGGATAACTAGCTATTCCTAAATGAACCAGAAATGAGCAGATTCTAGGGTCACAGGATGTTGTTCTGCCAGCTGAGCTAAACAGGAGCAAAGTACCTCAGAGACCTGCAGATGGCACATCTGCCATCCTGCCCATTCCTAAGGGCACTGGCCATCTGTCAAGCCTCCAGGAAAGGGAACGGACAAGCTGAGTGAGGATGTCCTGGCCCTCAGGTAACTACATGACAGAGTTTCTCCCATGTTCTGGAGGCTCCTGCTACCATCTTACTTAATAGGAGCACAGGGACACAGTGGGAGCTGAAGGTGGCTATCACTCCAGGGGCTCAGTATATGGTAAGTCAAGTGGCTGGTACCAGGGCTGCTGGAGGCTGAGGTGGGGTAGAAGGTGACACTTCAAATCCTTCCAATCCCATACAGCCTGGAGTGCCCCTGGATATAGGTCTGGCCTTTCCAACAGGAACTCAGCTATCAGTTCCTGATTGCCTGATGGTTCTTGGGTACAGCCACGTATCTCAGCTTCTTCATGATGGAGGGCCAGCCCAGCAGCTGCTGGTCCCACATGTACTCTGGGGACAATACCTTTGTTGGCTTGTGGTATAGAAGGTACTTGTTCAGATGGCTCTCATCATGCCACACAGCCTCGATGCCATTGGCCTTGTCCTCCACCATAGCCTGATGACAGGCCTTGGTAAGACGGTACACCTCCACCACTGAACCCCCAAAAAAGGCCCCCATGTAGTAAAAGTCACCCTCATCCCGGGGGATATAGGCCTGGGACTTCGGCCGGCGCTCATAGGTAAAGGCCTCTCGGCTGCTACTGTAGAAGCCAGGATGCAGGGTACCGAAGAGTGCTGAGAGAATCTCCACTCCCACATGATCACTGAACTTCATGTCCACATCTGCACACACCAGGTAGTCCACCTCATGCAGAAAGCGCTGCTCAGAGAAGCGGCTGATCATTTCCATCCTGTGCATGGACACATCCTGCCAGCGGGTGTAGTTGCGCACAGTTAGCACCACCAGCTTCCGTCCTGCTCCCAGAGGCACCTGAGGCACATCGGCTGGACGGTCAGTGAAGACATAGTAGATGACCTTGTGTCCCACCATGAAATGCTGCTCCGCCGTCTCCAGGAACAGCTTCAGGAACACCACGTACCTGTGAGGAATGTAAAATTGGTATGGAGAAATTTACCACAACTAGGTCAAGACTATCAGGGCAGAAACTAACCTGCAGAAACCATGGCTACCCAGAGGCTTGAAAGAGCAGCATTCTGAAGATGCAGGTTTCTGTTCTGCCTGGTCCCACAGCCACTTTGCCCCAAATAAACACAGAGAGACATTAATTATTAAACTGTTGGCCAATGGCTCAGGCTTCTTATTGGCTGGCTCTGTCTTAATTATTAAACCATTTCTACTAATCTATGTATTTCCATGTGGTCTTCTGTTACCGGAGAAGGGACTGGACCTGTTACTACTTCCTCTGCTACATGACATTTTTGGGTCAGCTCTCTCTGCCTTCCTCTCCCCAGTCTTCTCCTGGTCCAGTATCCCCACCTATCCTTCCTATCTGACTACTGGCCAAACAGTGATTTATTCACCAACCAATAAGAGAAACATACATACAGAAGGACATCCCCCATCAGCATACCCACTCTACCGCTGTCCTGACCAGTTTGCAGGCTGTACCTCACGTCACCCTCCTTTGTGCAGAAGGGTGCAACATCAGCACCACATCTTAGCAAGGAATGTTGTAGTAGAGCCCTGGAAACTTCCAGTTAGGTAACAATGATGACTCAGGACCTGGGGGTCCAGGAAAATGCCCTGTAGGTATCTCTTGTCTTGACAGTCCCCTCAAGAGGTCACCTATCCATGTGTCTATGACCCTCCCAAAAAATGAAGGCTCCATCCCAAGAGATTCCACTCCCCACAGCTTTGCATTGGCCCAAGCAGAGTCTGTGATCCCAGGGTCCCACATTCTGAGCCCTGGTGGAATATATGGATTTTTAAGGGCCTGGTACCTGCATCCCTCCTTTGATCACTCTCCAGGACCCTGTATCTCAGAACCCCCTCCTCAGAGGCTTGAGGTGCCTGTGGACAAGCACTCAATAACTCTCATGTTCCTAAGAGTCTTACCCCATGCTCTCCATGAGAGAAGGAGTCAGACACACAGACTGGGCAGGGAAGGGGAAACAGGCACCCTAGAAAGAAGGGCAAGCCTGATGAAACCCTCTGGTCCAAGGGCAAAAGACTTCCATATTAGTGCTTTTATTTGTGAGACGACACCACGGCCACAGCAACTCTTATAAGGAAAACGTTTAATTGGGGTGGCAGCTTACATTTTCAGACGTTCAGTCCATTATGATCATGGTGGGGAATATGGCAGAATGCAGGCAGACATGGTACTAGAGATGAGAGTCCTACATCTTGCAGGCAACAAGAAGTGAACTGAGACACTGGGTGGTATCCTGAGCACAGGAATCCTCAAAGCCTGCCGCCTCAGTGACACTTCCTCCAACATGGTCATATCCCACTCTAGCAAAGCCACACCTGCTAACAGGGCCACTCACTTTGGGGGCCATTTTATTGCACACTACCACAGTCCACTCCCTGGCCCACAAATTCTTGTAGCTGTATCATAATGCAAAAATGCATTCAGTGCAACCTCAAAAACCAAACCCTCCTAGTTTATCACAGTCCCAAACTTGTTTCAAAGCCCAGTCCCTACTATGGCTCATGGCAATCTCTTAACTGTAATCTCCTATAAAAATCAAAATTAAAAAGCAGATTACATGCTTCCAATATATAATGGCACAGGATATATGTTATCATACCAAAAGGTAGAGAAAAGAGCATAGGGACGAAACACTGAACCAGATCAAGATAGAAACCAGCTGGGCAAACCCCAAACTCTGCATTTCCATGTATGACATCAAAATGTTCTTCAGGTCTCCAACTTTGTTAATTTTAACACACTTCTTTCTGTAGGGCTGGCTCCACTTCCTGTTATCAGCTCTCCTACAACTCTGATACCTCTAACATCTTGAGTTCTCCAAGGCAGTTCAGGTCTTCAACTTCACAGTTTTACCCAATGACCTCTCTACTAGGCCTCCATTCAGGGACACCCTTGACACATGCCTGGCCATAACACTTTCTTTAGGTACAGAGGAAAATTCCATAATCCACCTCTATCCTTAACTCTAAAGTGAATACCATATTACCAAGGATGCTACTTACTGGGGCTGGATCATTGCATCCTCATTCAATTACATCTTTATCAGCTTTCTGTCTTTCGCTGCCTAAGCTTGGCTGCCCTGAACCTGGATCTGTACACCAGTCTGGCCTCAATCTCAGAGATCGGCCAGCCTCTGGCTTTCCAATGCTCGGATTAAAGATGTGCCCCACCACACCCAGCTCTAAGCTTTTCTTTAGTTTCTTTCCAAAAGTTCAAAAATTAGTTGAGTGGGATCTTGCCCTGAAGACACCACCCTCTTTTTTTCCATTTATTAATCTGTTTATCTGCTTGAACACAGGACTTAGCACCATTCCACTCACTGGTATTCTTTTCTCCTTAAATTTTTTTTTTGTAATTTACCCTGCTCAACTTGCTCCTTTTAATTATAAGTCTTCATTAGAGTTACCACTAAAAAATACATGGCAAAATCTACACTACATAGGCTGTTGTTTTGAGATTTCTTCTGCCAACAGAATTAATCCAAATTCTTCAATTTAGCCTCAGGCAGACTCGTCAAAAAAGGGCAAAAAGAGCCACTTTCTTCACCAAAATATCACAAGAGCAGTCTCTAGGTTACATGCTGACATTCTCTTCTGAAATCTCTTGATCCCCACACTGCATCAAATCACATTCAGCACCACTGTCTTCCATGCTCCTACTACTATTGCTCATAAGAAGCACTTACAACATTGCACTGTTCTCCTAACCCAAACCAAAACATTTTCAGACCTATCACAGGAATATACAAGTCCCTGGTACCAACTTCTGTATTAACTGGGTTTTTTAAAGCTGTGAAGAGGCACCACAGCCACTGCATATTTTTTTTTGATTGTATGAGACAGGGTTTCTCTGTATTGTTTTGGAGGCTGTCAGTCCAGCCCAGCCTTGAACTCACAGAGATCCGCCTGTCTCTGCCTCCGGAGTGTTGGGATTAAAGGCATGTGCCACCACTGCCCAGAGCAATTTTTAATAGTCCTATTTTACATACCAATCATTTTCCCTCCTGTTCCTCCTACTTCCCTACCATCTCCACCCACCCCACACCCCATCCAAACCTCAGAGAGGTTGAAGGCTCATGTGGGGAATCAACAAAGTCTGACACATCACTTCAGGCAGGACCAAACCCTACCCCCTATATCTAGGTTGAGTAAGGTATCCCACCATAGGTAATGGGCTCCAAAAAGCCAGTTCATACACTAGGCATAACTACTGGTTCTACTACTAGTGGCTCCACAAACTGCCCAAGCCACCCAACTGTCACCCACATTCAGAGGGCCTATTTCAGTTTTATACAGGATTTAAAGCTGTCAGTCCAGAGTCAGTGAGCTCCCACTTACTCAGATGAGATATTTCTGTGGGTTTCCCCATTGGACCACAGCAACTCTTATAAAGGAAAATATTTAATTGAGGTGGCAGCTTACGGTTTCAGAGGTTCGGTCCATTATCATCATGGTGGGAAACATGACAGGCACACGCGGTACTGGAGCTGAGAGTCCTGCATCTTGCAGGCAACAGGAGACACTGGGCATTATCCTGAGCATAGGAAACTTCAAAACCTGCCCCCACAGTGGCACACTTCCTCAAAAAAGGCCGTAACCACTCCAACAAAGCCACACCTGCTAATAGTGTCACTCACTTTGGGGGCCATTTTCTCTCAAACCACCACAGCTTCTAACCCAGGTTCCATGTCATCTCCCAGCCCAAGAAGTTTTCCTGCTTCAGATGACTGCTCCTCCCTGGATGACTGCCACCTGCTCCCACCATGGGAACAGGGATCCCCATCACCCGGTCAGGGTGCCAAGCCTCTGCACTTCAATGTCAGAAAGAGGCAAGTGCCTGTGTTCCCTGTGCAAACAGGACTATGGGGTCCCAGTTGGTCCCTCAGAGGCTTCTTCCTACCAAGCACCTACCACACCTGGCAGGGCTCTTGCTCATGCACTCAGCAGCACCAGATAAGATAGTATTTGTGTCCCATTACTGCGAAGTCCTTTGTCCCTAGGAGCTCCAGGTATTCCCAAGGTGCCTAAGATCCCTCCAGCTGAAACCCAAACCTCTCTCAAGTCTGATTGGTACAAAGGACTCAGAGCCGCCCTTGGATCTCACCCAGCACTCCAGGGAAGGACAAAGCCCTCCCTTCTCACATGCAGGCAACACAAATGACCTCTGTCAGTCCTCCCACTTCCCACCCCACCACAGCCTTGCACTTAATGTTACCCTATCCTGCTTCTACAAACTTCCACAGGGAAAATTTCTTGTCTGTGGCTTAAAGTCAGCCTGACCCAGAGTCTCAAGGCTTCACAGGTCTGCTACTGCCTGCCCCCAAGGCTAAAGTTAAAGGTATTACTCATCCCTTGCTGTCCACCTTGTCCTATATCTGAGGACATGTTTGATGTGGAAGAGCATTTTGACCATGCAAAGATGTATTACATCTGTTTATGATGAGTTTGTTTAATTAGGTAAATATGTCTTAGACTTGTTTCAACTTGCCAGCCTATGGCACCTGATTGGTCTAATAAAAACCTGAATGCTAAATAACTAGGAAAATAGGGAAAGGTGGGACTGGTGGGCAGCGACAATAAATAGGAGTTAACATGAGCAGAATGAGAAAACAGGGGAGAAAATGGGGGACATTCCCAGAGCTAGACACCAGGCATCAGGAAAGTAAGATACACAGAGAGAGAGAGAGAGAGAGAGAGAGAGAGAGAGAGAGAGAGAGAGAGAGAGAGAGAGAGAAAGAAAGAAAAAAGGAAGGAAGGAAGGAAGGGGATGGAAGGGAAAAAAAGCCCCAAGTCAAAATATAAAATAAAGAGAAACACATTAAAATAAGACATAAGTGACTTCCTGGGTCTACTCCGCATGTAGTGGACCTGACCCAATAGCCTGCACTATCCAGAGGCTGCCCACATCACAGTCTTGGCCCCCTC